AGCGGCCTGAGCCCTCCGCAACTCCAAGTCTTTAGCTTCTTAGGAAGGAATCAAACTATTGCTAAGAAAAAAAAAGTAAAATGTCAAAATGTAAATATCCCGCTTCCTTGCCCCCAGTGTTGCTGGACTCACCCCCCCCCCCCCCCCCCCCAAGGCTATCATCACCCTTCTTTCTATGAAAATAAAAAATAAAAAAGGCATCTTAAAAAAAAAAGATAAAAATAAATTAAATATAAAAATTATTAAAGAAATATTCACAAAAAAATAAAATAAAAATTACAAAAATATTGAATTAAAAAATATAATTTTAAAAATATAATAATTATTGTTGATTCTGGGCATCTTGGGGTCAGCTTGGGAAAGGTTCAGGGCTCGTGGTGGAGCTGGTGTTCTGCATGAAGATGGTGGAGTCAGGTCAAGCACCATAGGTCGGTGGCTTGACTACAGGGAAGAGGCGTCTGAGTCCATCTTGGACTGGCTTGTGGTCAAGTCGGCCACCATCGGACATGTGGCTCGACCACCAGGAAGGGGTGTCTGAGTCCATCTCAGACTAGCCTGGTAGGGCCAGGTCATCCACCACAGGTCAGGTGGCTTGACCACAGGAAGGGGATCTCAGTCTCTGGCTCAGTGCTGCCAAGGCTAAAGGTGGCTTCAGGCTCCATCTCGACACCTCGCAATCACCAGAGGTTTGTGGCTTAGATGGACAAAGGTGGGATATGGTTAGGTTAGGTGGGGTTTTGGGTTACTTTGGCATATTATGGTCACGAGGTGTCCCAACAATCCTCCCTGCCAAAAAATTAATTTTACAAAATAAAAAGTAAAATTAATTTCCAACACCGAGTGACCAGGTGAGAAAACTTAATTTAAAAAAAGTTTACATTACAAGAAAATAATTCCTCGGAAATAGTATATATATACTCAAATATTAATTAATCACTCAAATCCACCCTGGGTGCTAGGGTGAAGTGATGAATGTACATTGAGAAAAAAAAATTCTAAAATCATAAATCTTCAAATTATTAAAAATATTATGGTATACTCGTATGCATACATGCAAATGCAATTCATTTTCTTTTTCAAATAATAACAATTATCCAATATATATGTATTTTTCATAATGTAACAGCCAAAAAAAATCCTAAAATACATAAAGGTATCAGGGGGGAAAAGACAAATTTCAAATTTAATGCGCTTCTTTCTACTAATATTTAATAGGGTAATTTAAATCAGTAATTTAAAACATTTTGATCCCATAAACAACTCATTCTGGTAAAACTAATTGAATCTTCGATTAAAATTGAACTGAAACCTTTTACATGGTTAGACTAGTTGTCTACCTAAATTATTCTGCACATTGACCTCGCATGGCCACACATAACTGAAAACATCCTTTGTTAAAAAAAAATCCTGCTTCACAAAAATATTAAACCAAAATTTAACCTTAAAGTATATGTACCTCCTTTTTTTTTAAATGACCTTAAAACACACACAAAAATACCCTACTTTTTATAATAAACTTAAAAAAAAAAATTCTTTCGAACCGGTATTCAAGGTTCAATACCAAATCTATAATCACAAACTGACACTCAGGTACTTGTTAGTTTACATGGGATTATGCCACTTGTCCTCTAGCTTCCCAAAGCTAGAGCTTCTCACACCTTCGGGACTTTCAGGCGGAGGACAAAGACCTTTACATGGTCTCAACACAACTGCTGCTCCCAGAGCAGTCAGAAGAAAAGGAATCATGGGACTCTCTCCCTTGACATCCAGTGTGTGCTCCCAGAGCACATGACAAATGACATTTCCCACAACTATGCGAGTGCTTTCTTCACAGAAACTTAGCTGGAGAGCCTATATCTCATCCAGGGTCAAAAATCCAGTTTAAAAAAATAGATAAATTTGAACCTAACATACATAAACAAAGAAAAAAAATTGAAATCAAATTCATACCTCCACATGAAGTGAAGAAACTATCCCTAAGCAGACATATCAGATTGTCAGTGAGTTTACAGATCCCTGATGGTAGATCAAACTATTAAGGTCCTAACACATTCTGTATAAAGTTACAAGTTCCTATCCTACCAATATCTTAATTTGTCCAGGTCTAACATACTGGTGGCTTGAAGTTTGATATCTCGTTCACTATCCTTCATTCATACAAAAAAAAAGTAAAAACATTTGCGGATGCATTCAAACTAAACTTGAAATCAAAAGCACTGCCTGAACATTAAACAAACAAAACAACTATTCAAAATACTAAATTCAGGGAGATAAGCACAAGTGCTCTATACCAAAGAAAATCTAGTTATGATCCACCTCCATAAACTCACAAAAGAAAATAAACTTGTACTAATTACCACCAATTTGGTCATTCAGTACCCAAAATAGTACTAACATAAAAAAAAGTGTGCAAGGTTCATTAAAAAAATAAAAATCCTATCTTCAAATATTCATCTAATCCTATCTATTTAACCTAAAAAAATATTATCATTTACTGTAAAAGCTATCTAAAGGGCCTGTATCCGGTCCGTCCTGTGTTTACAATAAGCAACAAAGAGAAAACAAAAAAAAAGGAAATCCTCAAACATAGACCATATTATAAATCCTAGAATAAAAAAAAAAAAAAGGAACTACTAACACTGACTATTCAACTAATTCAACATTGCTTCATAAAGATTGCTCACAGTGATGGATACCAAGAGAGCCTAAATCTCATCTTTTAGGTGCTTCACTTTCCGAGACACAAAATCTTAGCTCCTAGTTGAAAAAAATGGATATCCCATTAATGGTAAAAATAGGTCTTAAATCTATACTCTAAAATTATAGTTTATAAAATTACTTTAAAAAAAATGGCTGAGTTAAAAAAAAGGATGCACAAATGCTCTTATATATTGATAAATTTACACAAAAAAAAAAGTTCAAAAAATCTAGAATTACCCTAAAAAGTGAAATATAAAAACCTTTTTCTCTAAAATTAACTTGTTCATACCATGTAAATATTTCCTTCATACTATGAAAAGCTTCATCATGTAGGTCACCTCAAGGGCAGACCATAGACATGCTAACACTTCTATAAGTAAAAATCATTATTAACCAAAAAGAATGTCAAGAAATGTATTTTTTCATACACTCATATGCAATATTCCTGAAATACCTTATTAAGATAATAATTATTATTATAGATTTTGTTATTTCTCTCTCTCTCTCTCTCTCAAACACTTAAAAAGAAAACATGCCTTTTTATTGAATAAATTGCCCTAGAAAATTGTTTCAACCTCATTGTTTCAACCAATAAAGATGAAAAAAAAAGACATTTAGGCCTAAAAAGAAATAAGCTTCTGATTGGTTTCAACTATCAACTGGTTTACAAATAAAGGTAAACTTAATGAAATGTATTTCATGAATTAAAATATTAAATCTGGGTATATGTAACCATAAAATAGGAAAACCTCCCTGCCAATTTCTTACATAATGGTAAGTCATTTGAAATTGACATCTGACATCTGTTATATGTTTATTATGACACTGTCATAGTTTCCATATTACAGTAAATTAAAATTATTACCGAGATATTTTCTAAGTAAATATATTTTTAAACATCTATATTTCTCATATATATATATGTTAAAAAAAAACAGAAAGTAAATTGTTTTTTTTTTTTTTAATGTATGAAACAGGTTTATTATTAATGTATCTCCAATAATATTTGAAAATATAAATATGTATTTTCTGTATAAAGGAAATAAATGGTAATCAAATTTACTATTGTGTTGAAAAACTTGGCTAGGGGTCACGTGGTCATTTTCAGCCAATCGTGAGCAAGAATGGGGAGAAATTCTGACGTCAGTGTGTACCATTTCCTAGCGCCAAAATTTATATTTGGCTTCTGCACATCTGGTGATTCAAGATGTTGTTTTTCTGCACTAAGTCCTAAATTTAAACTAAGCTGCCAATCATGGCACGAATTTCATCTAGGCCTAGCGTTGTTCTTTGTCTAATTGTATGTTACATTCTTTAAAATTATAAAACACAGCATTAAATATACCAATCGACGAAGCTATAATATTGTAAATAAAAATAACGGTTGTTATTTACCTAAATACCATTTATAATAATACCATAAATCACATAATAAAGTATTAAATATAAATGTTTATTAAAACACAAAAATTAAACTTAACCCACAAAAATAATATTTTAGAAGCAGCATTAGATTTGTTTACTTACTACAGAGTGGATATTAGAGATGTTTATCATTTTAAATGATTTAAAACAAACTTGCTTGTAAAAAAATGCAAGTTATATATATAAATATCTACTAAAACATAATTGTTCTATGTACATTGAAAAATATTTTATTAGTCACATTTCCCTGGGTATTGATTCTTAATCTCAGAGGCCGCGTTTTACTTAGCCCTAATGGCGTTTCACTATGTATATATTTTAAATTAGATAATAAAAGGCATATATTGGATTTAATAAAATATTTATTTTGCCAATATTTCGGCTGGCTGAGCGCCAACCTTTATCGAGGCTTTACATTTTTGTATACACAAACTCAGCGCCGCATAGTGTTATAATATCACAGTTGAAATCAATTAAAATACAGAGTAGGTGGGAGAAATTTGTGCATGAAAAATATTATAAAAATGCAATTAAATATGTAAAATATCTTAAAATATAAAAGGAAAAAAAGTTCTATCTTATAATTAAAAAATTGTAATAAGTACATAAAAACAATTCATTAATCCTTATATATATAAAAATGAAATGCGAAATCGATGTTTGTTATCGCATCACGCAAAATCTACTGACTCAATCAATATGGAATTTCACATGTAGGTAGCTGAAGATTTCGTTTAACATATAGGCTATTCAAAAAACTAAAAAAGTTAATGTGCTTTTTTAAAAAAATAAAAAACCAAAAAGCGTTAGTTCCAGTCTTTTACCGCTAGGGCGCAGCACTGGTCGCGACGATAAATGAATTTGATTTTTTTAAAGCATCGGTGGTTCAGTGGTAGAATGCTCGCCTGCCACGCGGGCGGCCAGGGTTCGATTCCCGGCCGAAGCATTTTTTTTAAACAAGTTTTAAAATTCATTTATATTATATATCTATATTAATAAAATGCAAATTTCATAAGAGGACATCACTAAACACTTTTGTTACAATGCATCAATTTCGACCAAATTTTCAACATTTATGTAAAACGAGATGGAGCAGGTTTTGCTTAACGTCAAAATATTTTTCCCTAACATTAACATGCGTAACTTCGCTGTTATCGATTAAATACAAAAAAAATCAACAGAGTTAATTTTATTTATATATAAATACAAAATTAAATTTCAACAGAGTTAATATTTTTACATACTAGCTAATAATCTCAATCTAAAAATATAATATAAAAAGCCAACAATGAAGAGTGAATGTAAGATAAAAAGCCAACAATGAAGAGTAAATGTAATATAAAAAGCCAACAATGAAGAATGAATGTAAGATAAAAAGCCAACAATGAAGAGTGAATGTAATATAAAAAGCCAACAATGAAGAATGAATGTAAGATAAAAAGCCAACAATGAAGAGTGAATGTAAGATAAAAAGCCAACAATGAATAGTAAATGTAATATAAAAAGCCAACAATGAAGAATGAATGTAAGATAAAAAGCCAACAAAGAAGAGTAAATCTACTTATATAATTGCCTTATTCTGTCTGTGTGAAGTTCACTGTGTGAATTTCACAGATAGATTTTGGTCAGAATATAATATAAAAAGCCAACAATGAAGAGTAAATATGATATAAAAAGCCAACAATGAAGAATGAATGTAAGATAAAAAGCCAACAATAAAGAGTAAATGTAATATAAAAAGCCAACAATGAAGAATAAATTTAAGATAAAAGCCAACAATGAAGACTAAATATAATATAAAAAGCCAACAATGAAGAATAAAGGCAATGTGACACGGGAAAAAATGTTCACTAGATAAAACTATGATTTTCTAATGAAAATTAGGAAAGACAAAATTCAGGATGACACGGCACACAGGGACCGGGAAAAAATGTTCACTTTATCGAGAGATTCAAATTTACGAGTTTCAAATTATCAAAATATATCTTTTTTTTTAAATAAGTTTTTAGATAATTGTTTCAACAAATGTTCGTTAGACAAACCTTTACTCGGGTAAAACCCGGGCGAAGCCGGGTACGTTTTATAAGTTTATAGAGAATTGTTTTAACAAATGTTCGTTAGACAAACATTCACTCGGGTAAAACCCGGGCGAAGCCGGGCACATCCGCTAGTATCTTCTATATAAATGGAAATTTCATAAGTGGTGTTCGCTAAAAACTTTCGTTACAATGCATCAATTTCGACCAAATTTTCAACATTTATGTAAAACGAGATGGAGCAGGTTTTGCTTAACATCAAAATATTTTTCCTAACTTTAAAATACATAACTTTGCTGTTATCGATAAAATACAAAAAAATCAACAGAGTTAATTTTATTTATATATAAATACAAAAAAAAAAAATTCAGCAATTCATTCAACTCAATCTAAAAAAATATTCAAAACAAGCAATTTTAAGATAACACCATATGTAAAACAGTCGGCCAAGAAAACAACAACGATATTACATCTTTCTCACATATTCACACACAATCTTGATTAATAATTAAAACTAATCTTTAGCATTGTTTATTATACTTCATAATATATAATATTCGTTAGGCAAACTTTCACTCGGATAAAACCCGGGCGAAGCCGGGTACACATCCGCTATAGAGATATCCTTCCTTATATATATAAAAATGAAATGCGAAATCGATGTTTGTTATCGCATCACGCAAAATCTACTGACTCAATCATTATGGAATTTCGCATGTTGGTAGCTGAAGATTTCGTTTAACATATAGGCTATTCAAAAAACTACAAAGGTTAATGTACTATTTTTAAAAATTATTTAACTGAAATGGATTAGTTCCCGCCTTTTGCCGCTTGGCGCCGAATTTGATTGGTTAATAATTTTACACTTATTTTGTTTGTTTACACGCTGCATTATTCAAAAGGTAAGATTATATATATTTATTTAAACTCTTTGGATATATTATTGTTTAGAAATATTTTTCTAATTTAATTGCTACTACATTTTTTTAGATAAGGTATATATTTCTCATATGGAATATTCATTTTATATTATATATTCATATAATCATTTACGATTTAGATTATTGTTTAGAAATATTTTTCAAATTTCTAATTATGTTTTTTTCTGTATAGCTTGCTACATATATTTTACTATATATGTTTGCTCCATGCAATAGTTTTATACTTATTAGCATTTATATTGTAAGCAGCTTCTATGCATTTTTAATAACTGCTTTTTTTTTTAGGGGTAGGTTCAATTTATTGGGCAGTTTTTTCAAACAAATTAGACAAAGGTATACTGTTTGATTCTCATAAGGAATATTACGCTCCAGGACCCTGGGTTACTTAAATAAATAATAAGGAATATTCATAATATATTATAAAATCATATAATCATTTACGATTTAGATTATTGTTTAGAAATATTTTTCTAATTTCATAATTATGTTTTTTTCTATATAGCTTGCTACGTATATTTTACTATATATGTTTGTTCCATGCAATAGTTTTATACTTATTAGCATTTATATTGTAAGCAGCTTCTATGCATTTTTAATAACTGCTTTTTTTAGGGGTAGACTCAATTTATTGGGCAGTTTTTTCAACCAAATTAGATTTTTTTAGGCCTTCTTCCATTGTCTTTTTTTTTTTTTGCTGTCATTTGTTTAGGTAGTATTTATATTTATCTGCTTCATAATATGTAGCTGCTCATATATATCTATATAGGCTCAATTTATTGGGCAGTTTTTTCAACCAAATTAGACTTTTTTTTTAGGCCTTCTTCCATTGTCTTTTTTTTTTTTGTTTTGCTGTCAATTGTTTAGGTAGTATTTATATTTATCTGCTTCATAATATGTAGCTGCTCATATATATCTATATATGTTCTACTCATATTTATTGTACATATTTTTTCAGCAAATTATACTTTTTTTTTTACGTCTTCTTCCATTTGATTTTTTTTAATCAGTTGTTTTACGTTTTCATTGAGTTTTATGCATTTTTCCCCTCCTTTCAGATTATTTCTATGCATTTTTTTATTTTGGTCTTAGTCATGAGTCGAGCTTATTTTAATACACTATTTTTGAATTTTTTTCTTCATTCTCAGCCCTTGATGTTTTACATTTTTCAGTTACCTTTATTTTTATTTTTACTAATGCTTTGTGTTTGTAGGTATGCCAAGCCATAGGAGACGCAATCTTTCTCAGCGTTCCAATAGCTCTAGGGTTCAGCATGCTTACAGACTGCGCGAAACCAGAGGACAGAATATTCGAAGATTGCGTGCACAGTCCGCGCGTCAAGCCGCTGTGCGGTCGTTAGAGACACCTGATCCAATCCATTCTCGCTTACAGGCGCATTCAGAAATATATTCTTCTACTCGGAGGAATACTAGAACAAATATTTTTTTCAGCAGCGTTTGGTCTTCTATGGAAAATGCAGGTTTTAATTATTCTGTTGCTGTTGAATACTTTAAGCACCCTTTAATTTCCCTTGGGATGATGGACACTACATGCAGGTTTTGTTAGGGCCTTAAGATGGAAAGATGAGTCTTCTGGAATGTGCTGTTCAAACGGGAAAGTCCGTTTGCCATTAATTGACTTACCTCCCGAGCCACTTCGCAGCCTATTATCTGGAGAGAATTCTGATTCAGTCCATTTTTTGCGTAATATTCGCAAATATAATTCCTGCTTTCAAATGCCATCATTTGGAGCTGAAAACCAAACCCACTCTGTTACTTTTCCAACCACATTTTCTATCCAAGGCCAGGTCTACCACAGAATAGGTTCACTTATGCCATCTGAGAACCAGCCAAGTAGATTTCTTCAGATCTATTTTGTGGGCAATGATGATGATGATGATGATGATGATATTCGGACTGATCGAAGATGCCAGCAAATACAGGGAGTACGTCGTAATATTATACAGGGTTTGCAGCGCATGTTGCACCAACACAATCTACTGGTTCAACAGTTTAAAACTGCACTTGAAAATCTCCCCAGTGATGCATACAGAGTTGTTGTAAATGCTGATCGGACACCTCCTGGTCAACATCCTAAACGGTATAATGCTCCTACAGCTAATGAGGTTGCGGTTGTTTTAGATGGTAATCAGTTTGGCTCACGTTACATTGTTTTACATCAGCGAGATAATTTGCTGAAACATGTTAGCGACACACATCGCTTTTATGATGCCCTTCAATATCCTTTAATTTTCTGGAAAGGCCAAGAAGGATATTCTTTTCATATTCCTCAGATCGACCCAAACACTAGACAGCCTTTGTCAAGTAAAGTGTCTTCTATGGATTTTTATGGCTATTTTATTATGGTTCGCCGAAATAGTCCAAATGTCATTGTTCAATTTGGCCAGCTCTTTCATCAATTCCTGGTCGATATGTATGCTAAGGTAGAAAGTGAACGTTTGCGCTATCTTACGCTTCTCCAGAGAAACTTGCGTGCAGAGAGTTATATTCATTTGCACAATGCCCTGTCAACTGATGCAAATATTAACCCTAATAGCTTGGGTCAAAGGATCATTTTACCATCAAGTTTTGTCAATAGTCCCAGGTATTTGGCGGAATAAACGCAGGATGCTTTTTGTTATGTTCTGCAAATTTGGGCGTCCAGATCTTTTTATTACTTTTACAAGTAACCCCTCTTGGGAAGAGCTATCTGCAGCGTTGCTACCAGGACAAAAACAGCTGGATAGACATGATATCACAGCTCGGGTTTTTCGGCAAAAATTAGTTAAATTTATTGGGGCTCTAACAAAAGGCCAATTGTATGGGGCAACAGTTGCGTGGATGTATTCTGTTGAATGGCAGAAAAGGGGACTCTCTCATGCTCACATATTAGTTTGGCTAGCAAATAAGCTCCGTCCCACTCAGATAGACTCTGTTATATGTGCTGAGTTTCCAGATCCTATTACATGCTGT